TGATTGGCTTTCAGACCACAGGGGACCTGGGTCAGTGTGTATGTCCATTGCTGTAACAGTCAATATGGCCTCTGTGTTGACAGACTGACCATCTTGGTGTGTACAAACTTCTCCATTTAATTGGGCTACAGTAGGCCGTCCTAACACACCAGAATAAATATATATCTATATGTTTACATTGGGTATGATGGAAGTGTTGCTTTATAAGTCTGTATATACTAGGATTGTGACACTGAGTTGGTAACAGACAATGTCACTGTTAGACACTGTATCATTACACTGTTAGTAACACTGTATCATTACACTGTTAGTGACACTGTATCATTACACTGTTAGTGACACTGTATCATTACACTGTTAGTGACACTGTATCATTACACTGTTAGTGACACTGTATCATTACACTGTTAGTGACACTGTATCATTACACTGTTAGTGACACTGTATCATTACACTGTTAGTGACACTGTATCATTACACTGTTAGTGACACTGTATCATTACACTGTTAGTGACACTGTATCATTACACTGTTAGTGACACTGTATCATTACACTGTTAGTGACACTGTATCATTACACTGTTAGTGACACTGTATCATTACACTGTTAGTGACACTGTATCATTACACTGTTAGTGACACTGTATCATTACACTGTTAGTGACACTGTATCATTACACTGTTAGTGACACTGTATCATTACACTGTTAGTGACACTGTATCATTACACTGTTAGTGACACTGTATCATTACACTGTTAGTGACACTGTATCATTACACTGTTAGTGACACTGTATCATTACACTGTTAGTGACACTGTATCATTACACTGTTAGTGACACTGTATCATTACACTGTTAGTGACACTGTATCATTACACTGTTAGTGACACTGTATCATTACACTGTTAGTGACACTGTATCATTACACTGTTAGACACTGTATCATTACACTGTTAGTGACACTGTATCATTACACTGTTAGTGACACTGTATCATTACACTGTTAGTGACACTGTATCATTACACTGTTAGTGACACTGTATCATTACACTGTATCATTACACTGTTAGTGACACTGTATCATTACACTGTTAGTGACACTGTATCATTACACTGTTAGTGACACTGTATCATTACACTGTTAGTGACACTGTATCATTACACTGTTAGTGACACTGTATCATTACACTGTTAGTGACACTGTATCATTACACTGTTAGTGACACTGTATCGTTACACTGTTAGTGACACTGTATCGTTACACTGTTAGTGACACTGTATCGTTACACTGTTAGTGACACTGTATCATTACACTGTTAGTGACACTGTATCATTACACTTTTAGTGACACTGTATCATTACACTGTTAGTGACACTGTATCATTACACTGTTAGTGACACTGTATCATTACACTGTTAGTGACACTGTATCATTACACTGTTAGTGACACTGTTAGTGACACTGTATCATTACACTGTATCATTACACTGTTAGTGACACTGTATCATTACACTGTATCATTACACTGTTAGTGACACTCTATCATTACACTGTTAGTAACACTCTATCATTACACTGTTAGTGACACTGTATCATTACACTGTTAGTGACACTGTATCATTACACTGTATCATTACACTGTTAGTGACACTGTATCATTACACTGTTAGTGACACTGTATCATTACACTGTTAGTGACACTGTATCATTACACTGTTAGTGACACTGTATCATTACACTGTATCATTACACTGTATCATTACACTGTATCATTACACTGTTAGTGACACTGTATCATTACACTGTTAGTGACACTGTATCATTACACTGTTAGTGACACTGTATCATTACACTGTTAGTGACACTGTATCATTACACTGTTAGTGACACTGTATCGTTACACTGTTAGTGACACTGTATCATTACACTGTTAGTGACACTGTATCATTACACTTTAGTGACACTGTATCATTACACTGTATCATTACACTGTATCATTACACTGTTAGTGACACTGTATCATTACACTGTTAGTGACATTGTATCATTACACTGTTAGTGACACTGTATCATTACACTGTTAGTGACACTGTATCATTACACTGTTAGTGACACTGTATCATTACACTGTTAGTGACACTGTATCATTACACTGTTAGTGACATTGTATCATTACACTGTTAGTGACACTGTATCATTACACTGTTAGTGACACTGTATCATTACACTGTTAGTGACACTGTATCATTACACTGCTAGAGACACTTTATACAATGTGAGAGGTGTATTTATTAGTTAAAAAAAATCCAGATTGCAATCAAGGAACCCATTGAACTGTTAAAACACCTTATCATTCACAGTTAACCATAAAAAAATCATGAAAATTGTATCTAAACTATAAAACTTGACATTTAAACACATAGAAGATCCACTCAGGGGCCAGGCATTGAGGTCAGAGGTCAGAGGTCAGGTATACAAGTCAATAACAGGCCCTACATAGGAGTCTAACCTGTCTAATCATCACAGATCAAATCTACCTCTCATTTTGAACCTGCCAATCTGCTAACTTATCATTGATCTGTTAAATTATATTGTAAATGAACTTTGTCCAATATGTCAAGACACATACTGTAAAACAAGTGATATCATCACACTTTATCTTTGCCGTTGATCATTTTGCCCGTGGGGAGAAAAGTAGAGCTGAAATATGTTTATGTATATCTTAGGGCGGATTTAACAATGAGGATTTTTTTCTCTGCATACAATTGTACCAAGGAATTATGAATATTGTACGTTTTTATAAAATCATATATCTTACACTCTCTGGTAGGTTGTAACAAGGTCACATGATCATGATTCCCAATAAAGTGTCATGTTGACTAGTTGTGCCATTGAAAACTGTAAAAAAATTTGAAATGAGGCTGAAAATTTATTAAACATTTGCTCTTAAAACTCCTGATGTAATATTTACATAGGAATTATGAACCTCTCAACTAAACAAAAGACATGAGGGCTATGATAGGCTTACAATAATTCTTTATTCATATTATTACAAAAATAATTCAAGCTTCATCAAGATACATTAATTGATGAAGTCGACATCTTGATGTTGATGAAGAGAAAGATACATGGAGTTTGAAACATGCAATCATCAATATCAACATGTTATTATATATACAAGACTATCAGACTTTTGTTGAAAAGTACAGAACAGCAGCTAGATATTTCTAGCATAGCTTCCCCACAACATGTGCCTAATGATACTATGATTCAGATGACACTGTGCGATAAATATGTCACCATTTGGTCATTTCTAGCCATGTGCATACATCATTTCCCTGAAATGGTATTTAACAATTACATCACCACTTAAATGTCAGATGGATCAGGCTGACGCAGGCCTACAGGATGATACCTGAAACTGTAGCTCTTTATCGACGGAGGTTCATATTTTACGTTCCTACCAAACATTACAACTACTGTACAACTAGGTCTGATCTATTATGATGTTATAATTTTGGCAAATGTTTGACTGGGGTGGGTTTACTGTTTACATAGCTTAAGTATATTATGTGACAATCCTGATTGAATCAAGCATTTCTAATTGTAAAATGTTATACATATAATGTAATATTAACTGGACAATAAACAAGTTCGCTCTCATCAATTACAGTTCAGTAAAAGAAGGCATCACAAACGAAACAAATCACCTAACAGTTTATCTCTGATTATTGTGCAGTAAAAGATGGTATCTAGTTTGATCAAAGCTCCTCAAAGAATGGAACTGCTGATGGTGACAAGAATTTTCTAAAAAAAAAAATAATTCTGACCTTGACCTTAAACCTACAACCCTGAAATTCAGACTGGTCTGACGTACTATGTTCAGTTATTAGTGTGTGTGTGGTACAAGACCCAAATGATGCTAAGTGAAATTACATCTCTGTATCCACCCCAGACTTCCAGTTTCAAAGTGATGATAACAATCTGATTCCTTATCAAAAATTAACCTATAGCAATACCCTTGCCTTCTGGACTTTTTGTGAGGAACATACAGTATAGTGATCAAACGATATCACCAAAATTTATTCATCTGCTTTTGATTGGCTGTTGTTTAGCTGTGTAATAATTTCCACAACACCAGCACTGTTTGCTGCTAGATTAAAATAAAAATTGTTGTTGTTGGATTGATAACACAAAACACTAAAGTGTACTCTCTTCATGAACTAAAACACAAGGTTTAAATTCTGAACTAATTGGTGTAAGGAGTACAGAAATTTTGTAGCACTTTGTTGTTAAATACACTGTAATCCTGAAGATCTGTGGGTGAAAGATATCTAGTTAGACTGATGATTTTGTTTTGTTATTTGAAAGATTGACATTTTCTTGTTTTTCCCCTTAATAGTCTGTTTAATGAACAGCCATTGTCAAATGTAATGATTCATGTAGTAGTGTGTTAATAAAATATTGATCGCAGGATCCGAGATTGTCTTTTCAAAGTGAAAATGGTGTTAAAACTAATAATTACAGTAAAAAGTTGTAAAAATATCAATACATGTACTGAAGTTTAATACCACTATTTTCCTCAATTAAACTTTAATATTATTGTCCAAACATCAAAATGATTACTAGGAGTCATCTTGAATATCAGAATAAAAAATAAAAAACGTGAAAGGAGTTTGGTTTTAGATTTCTGAACGTTCTTTCAACATTAATGGTCATTTATAGATGTACATGTGTATGTAAGAAGACATCTCTCGACTAGACTGAAGTGCTGAAAAAACAGTGAAGGAGAAGTACAAATCATAAAACAATAAAGCTTAACAAGTTTTGAAGAGATCAGAGAACTAAAATTTTACAAAAAATGGACATATGTACAAAACCCTACCATATTAGCTCTAGAAAAAATGCTCACACCTAGTCAACAGCTAAAGAAACTTTTGTTTCATTTCTTCCAATTGAGAGATTATCTATTATATCAATAATGAACACAAAATTAGTGTTGTTAAGACGTTTATTTCAATACATGTTGAAACTCAACACTAAATCTAAGATTTATAGCATTTCACATATCACATGTACCAAAAACACCTCACTACCTTTTTATAAATCATGTCATTAAAGAAACAGAATTGACATGTAATCCACCAGGTTTCCTTGACACCCAATCATATTGCTTCATTTTATCCCACTTGTCTTTATATAGAAATATCACAACCTGATTTAAATGCTTGTTGGATTATCATTTTACCAGCTATATTCATAAAGGACACATTCTTCTTGACATAGGATAGGAAGCATTCCCATTCACAGGAACAGATATCCGATGGATTTTGCAGTCTGTCTGAGCACAAGGTATGTATTGGATCAGATCGGACAAGATGCATGCATTAGGTTGTAATGTCCATTGAACTCAGGCTGTTTAACATCCACAGAACTTTTATCTTTTGATCGTCACTTTGATGTTAATGATAAACTCACAATAAAAACATACTTCAATTTCAGTGACACAGCCTCCTATAATGCAAGGACACAACTGTTGAACATTAATCAGTTTTATTTCTTTAGTTTTTAAAAAAAATTCTTGGAGACTGAACTTTGCATCAGATCCCTCATACTTCTAGGTAGAATTTGGCAATGTATATGTACAACGAAACTTTATTTGATCAATGAAACATTAAACAAGACGAAATCAAGAAAATGATAGAAAATGACATTATTGGTCTGATTTTGATATTGGTCCACAGTTTGCCTTGTAAATGACACAAAACATCTGTTTCTTAATAGTCCTGGAATTCAACATTAATAAGGAGCTGGGGTAGGGGCAGGGACACTCATCAGTGGCGAGTCAAGCTGTTCTGGTGGAGTTGCTGGACTTGGTTCATAAGAGGAAATCTTATCCGCAAGTAGTTGGTAGGTCATATGAACAGCTTCACTATGCTGAAATATAAATGAGACAGCAAATTTTAATTGACAGGAAATGTCACACAAACCACACAAGTCTTTAAGACAGGTAAATGAGTTAATGCAACATGTAATGTTACAAAGTACAATTGATTGAAAGAAAACATCCATACAAATGAGTAGTGTGAAGTGTGTCTAGTCCTATGACTGAGGTTGGTAGTACAAGTGTTTCTGTGGAGTCTTACCTCATTGTTTGGGGCGGTGGACTGCATGAGAGCCTCAAGGCGTGCTGGGGGTAGCTTATGGTGGATGTGCCATAATAGTCGCAGTAAGTGTCTCATCATGTTTTCTTTTGATATTGATGGCTGTAAAACAAGGAAGTGGGAAGATCACATTTGCCAAAAGTTTTTAAAGATTCATTTTGATGTATTATTAATATTTCATGAAGATAATGATTCTCTTGCTCTATTCATGGTTTGTCTTGAATTCTCTAAACTCCTTTAAACTGCTTTACCACATGAAATTAATGATGATATCAAAGGTTGTCAAAAACTGAAGAAGTACATATAAAGCTTCACAGCAGCGAGAAGAACAACTTCATCATGTACTGATTTAAAATTTATTGTTTGTAATGTGTTCTTGATATTTATTTATTTACTCATTTTTTATTTTTGGTTTTAGTCAGTAGTTTCCGTAAAATTATACCATAACAAAATTCTTCTTTTATACCACATTGTGCAAGGGAGTGTTATTGCAGTCCAAATTTGCTTAATAAAAATTTCCATTTGAACTGTTTTGATCAAAGTCTTGAAATTATTTTTACAAAATGTATAGCTCAGTCCTTGTTTTGATAGTGTTGATAAATCAACTGAAATGACAAGAATTAGAGTTTAACTACTTCTTGGTTTGGATTTGTGTTCCACAGGCATATTCATGTACATGATCTATAAAGATAGTTATAGCTATACTTTATTGAGTGTGTGCACATGTAGAGAGAGAGAGAACTGTGGAGTTACCTCCCCTGGACAATAATCCATGGATTAAGAATTATTATGTGCTCAGATGCTAAATTACACAAAGAATTAATTAAATACATGATACAACATTGTTAAGTGTGAAGATTTGAGTACTTACTAGTATGTGTTTAAGGGAAGTTTGAAGTACTTACCAGTATAAAATCATCAAACACTACAACACACATGTCCTCCTGTGTGAAATCCTCTGCCATGGGAATAAGATATGAGATGATGGTGTGAAGGAAGGTGTCCTCTGATGCTCTCTCATTCTCACAGTGGATGAGCGTTGGTAGGATCTGACACAAGGCAAATTTGTCACGACTTCGGCTTGCCTGTAATATCAAGTAAGTAACCCTGTATATTTCTCATTAGTAAATACAATTATCTTGTAAATCTATAAACTGAAACCATGAAGACTAGGAATTACAGTAGAATAAACTTTCAAGTCAAATTAAAATTTCAATTCTTTACGTACACGAGGTTAAATTGCATTTCCAAAAGTGTGAAATTATTTGATTTACACAAAGGATACAATACCCCTTTTTCCTACTACAAATAACAAATAATTTAACACTGGTGTGTATCAACATATAGTTGTTCTTTATTACATTCAGACTTTTGTTAGTTCCAACTCTTAATAACTCAAAAGCCGAAATTTCTTGTAATTTAAAATCAGGAAACTTACAACTCTTGGATACCCAGAAGTGAAGTATTGGTAAAAACAGCTTAAATCTTCAATTGTCCATATAAAGTATATGTATTACTTATCCTAAATTGATTCATTTATGCATGTCCATAGTACAAAGTCTTTTACTTATACTTCATAAACAGACAAAACTTCATTTTCTTAACAGTTAAACATCTAAGTGTTTCAAAAGATAATCATATTGTAAACAACATATTTTTCAATGTTCAAAAGAGGGCATTGTCTTTTCCAATCATTAGTTTTCTGTCTTGTTAGTTGCTATCACATTTTCAAACCTTTTGTCCCAATGACTCTAAAAGTTTGCATTAATATATACAGTAATTATCTCATTTATGTGTCAGTTTTGAGTACCTGAAAATCCTGTTATTAATGATGGTGGCCTCATAGAATCTTTGATTTCACCATGAAAATAAAAATTGAAAATCTTTTCGCTACATTATATGTGCACCCTCCCACTTTGGACATTTATTTTCAAGAAAACTGTGCACATTATGTGGGTTTTAAGGGTAAAAAGATGAAGCATTACCTGTGCTGTGTAGTACATAGCCACTAGACTTGCAATGCTGTTGCTTTTGATAAATGTAGCATATAACTCAGATGGCTGTTTCAGTGTGGGCTGAGGCTCATCTGGGATCCGAGAACATATACTCCTAGTGTGGTCCTCCACCATCATAGACAAAATATTTGGTAGGTATTTTGTGAATATTGGCACATCCTGAAAAACCAATAATGTCGAGAATATAGTTATGTCTGGAAACCAACAATGTAGTGTATTTTGGTATGTCCTGAAACCAACAATGTTTTGAATATTTGTATGTCCTGAAAAAACCAAGACCAAAAATATAATCATTAACCTTAAGTGGTATGGTACAAATCTATCAATGTTTACTGCAAATAGTAGAGGAGAAATCTGTCAATGTTTACTGCAAGTAGTAGAGGACAAATATGTCAATGTTTACTTCAAGTACTAGAGGACAAGTCTGCTAATATTTACTGTGAGTGGTACCAGGGACAAATCTGTCAATTTTTACTGTTAGTGGAAACAGGAAAAAATCTGTCAATGTTTACTTCAAGTGGTAGGGGGGACAAATCTGTCAATGTTTACTGCTAGTGGTACCTGGGCACAAATCTGTCAATGTTTACTTCAAGTGGTAGGGACACATCTGACAATGTTTACTGCAAGTAGTATGGAACACATCTGAAGATGTTTATTGCTAGTGGTACCTGGGGACAAATCTGTCAATGTTCACTTCAAGTGGTAGGGGGGACAAATATCAATGTTTACTGCAAGTGGTACCAGGGACAAATCTGTCAATATTGTATTGTGCTGTAAAAATTGTTATGTGCTAAAAAGCCAACATTTTTTAACATTGGTATGCCCTGAAAAACAATGTTCCATTACATTTACCAACTTCAAACTTATGATTCATTCAATATGGAAAATCCATGCAGTCATATTAACTTACCAGCTTGGGCTCCCTGAATAACTGACTGTCGATCATGTCCCATGCTCCAAGCCCCAAGGCCATCATCCGTACCAGTAGCACAATGTCAGTACTATCCTGTACATAAACAGTTCATTCATAAACAGAAATTGAATTCAGAAGTATAATACAAATATATATAAGATTACTGTGTATTTTAGGTATGTTGCATAGAAACAGCAGCAAATCCTATAGCTATTTTGACCACTAGTAGATTTCAGTACCTTTTAAAAAAAAAGTAAATTTTTGTTTTGTAAGATCTGAAAGAGTTTTTTAATCAAAATTTAATCAAAGTGCTCAACTACATGTATATATAATTTGCTCAAAAAGAATTTTACATAATAGCATATGATATGAATAGATAATAGAGATTGGGAGGACTCTAAGGCCAGACAAAAATATACATGTCTCCTGGAACATGCTGAAAAAAATTATGGTAGGTAGGTAGGCAACAAAAACAATTATTTCAACATATAATTTTATATGGTTTATATAAGAGAGAGATCTTCACTTAAACAGTGCTGCTTTGGAAAATGCTTTCAAAAAATGGGTAGGCACAAAATAAAAGGGTTAGGTTGGGTTACCAGAAACAGGAAATATTTTTGTTTGGCCTCAATAATGTTGTTAGGCTTTAATACTCGTCATCAAAATATTATACATCCTTTACCCTTGGCATGACTTCATTGTTAACACAATGTTGTAAGTTCTTCATCATGGATAATGCTACAGTGTTGAGTGCAAATGGGTCACAAAGGATCATAGAAAGGTCTCTGTGAAGAAAAAGGAAACGCCTATTTACAAATATATCAAAATGACAAAGGTAGTGGTCATCTGATTGGAGTGCATTTTTTCTTCTTCAAATCTATTATGTTACTAGTACTCTACATTATGTATAAGTACAGTAAAAACAAAACATTACTAACATTTTTAGGATATTTAAACATCTATATAAAGTATTTATTGAAACTTCATGATACATGGTAGGTGCTATATTAAGTCATTTTTTAAACTTTATTTCAGTCTTAACAATAGAAGGAAGTAATAGGCTAGTTGTTAATTTACCCAAGCACAAATTCATGATCTTTTCGTATCCCATCTAGGAAACCTTGCAATTCCCTGGATCTCTTGGAATCAATGAAGCGATCTCTGATACATGCATCAACACACCATGTAAATTTGTGACACGGATCTAAGGCACAAATTTCATTGACCTCATGGTCATGAAGAGCCATTAAAAGTTCTGCTCTCAAGGTACAGTAGTGAGTGTTTCTTGTCCTTAAAAACAAAGTTCTGAGAAATTGTAGAACCATGTCATAAAGTTTCACGTTTTTTCCAACCATGTGTGACAATTTTTGTACCACTTCACTTTGCCGTCTCACTCTTGGAGATGGTAAAAAAAATGTCAGTGAAGCATGTTCATGCCCAAACAGTGCACTTTCTTTCTCCTTGATATACTGTGATAGAAGCGGTGACACTTCATCTCCAAACAATGCTTGATTGTCTTGCCAAATTTGTCTCTTCACTTCAGTAGCTGCTTCTGCATACAATTCTTTATCATCTAGAATTTTTCGAAGATAATCTTCATCGATCTTTGGCAAATGTTTCAAAAGTGCCATAACAACTGGTCGTAGTGTTTTCACTTTAACTACAGGAAAACTTTTCGTAAGCAGTGATTCCAATTTTTCAAATCGTTTTTCGTCATCACTATCGGCGAGTTCTGAGATCCGTTGGACAAGTTTATCTCTAAGCTCTTCCAACACTGAGTTATGGAAATCAAGTCTTTTGAATTCATGCAAATCCAGAAATGGGAGAGCTGGTCGCAGTGAGGGCAGCAGGATACCATTTTCCGTCTGGAATTCTTCGATTGCTTGAAGAGGATCGGAACAATTAGTCAGTGATTCTTGTAAATAGTCGCCTCCCGGGATTCCTAGATCTTCTAGGCCTGCCATTTTTCTTAAAATGTATTTTTTGTTGATTTAAACAGAAGATGAAATAGTTATTTTCTTCACAATCATCATGAAACAATCGTAATCTGGACAAAGATAGGTAATGTACAAAACCGAAACCATCAATCCCGCCGTCGGAAGTGATAGTTTTCGATCTCTGACTAAGAAGAGTTCCTGCGAGGGAGGTCACTACTCTAGTATCTTTGCATTTTTTTTTTCTTTTAACAATATTATTCAACATTGAGGTTACATTTGATATGGGACTTAGGTGATTGATTCGCATGATCATAAAAAATGATGGGACCGGATACTGTTGTCGATTGGTTATCAGTCACAAGCACTAGCATTACCAAACAAATAATTGATAGAAACCGACTTTGAGAACAAGGGAGACTACTCTTTCAACCTTAAACGATTTGTTAGCACACATTCCATCTACAATTATCTTGTAGATTAAATCTGTATGACTCTTTTGATTATTTATGCTGTTTATTTCATTGTATTTACAAGTAACTGTAATTAAAACGACTTTATATTGATGGAGATAGCATGAAATACATGTACATTGTAGAATACGTCTATTTTTTTCAATGTACTGATTTTCATGGTAGAGCAGATAATCTGTTATTTTCTGAGCGGATGATTGATTTTGCACACCAAGAAGCAGAGCTGACTCTTGTTTTTTTTAACCTTATCTCTTTATAGAGGCACCATAGATCACTTAACTGTCAAAACAACAAACTGAATGTTCATTATAAACATTCGTCAAACCTGGTACGCATAAATGTTATCTAATTAACTTAATTCAAAACTTCAACATGTGAAAGTGGGTTTGAAAATATTTCAACACCATAAAAAATGTAAATCTGCATAATTCAATCTTTAGTAATTTCCCATATCTAAGAAATACAATATCTCCTAGTTGAATGTTTTTTACCAATTTCCCAGACATGCACTAAGACAATTAAATATAAATCATTTTCTGTTTTATAATTAGTAATAACTTATTCCTGGCATACACTTATAATATATCTGTACCAAGTTGACACCAAGAAGTTGCTCAAGTGTGACTGATTTAAATGAGCTCTCAGTCAGGCATGGATGACACAATAGTACAACACAGGGCACAAATAAAGAATATAATCTATGACAAACAACTTGTCTGTTCTTTTTAGTTACAGTTTCATGATGTATAGACAAAGGGGTGAGGTTAGACTATCATACTTCATTATCTGCTGTTTTTTATACCGGGGGTTTCACCTCGTTATTTTTTTTGTCCTGAAGAATCTTTAGTTTTCAAGTCATCCAGTGCAGTCTTTGTACTTGTTCAAAAAGGACAAGACAGAACATTTTGTTATCATAAATCAGTGCATAGAAATTTTCAGTGATATTTTGCAAATACTATGTAGTTTGAGAGAAGGAGATCAGCTGAACAATTTTCAGTCAAGTTTTTGGGATATTGATTACCAGTGTAGTTTCATGTCCAGAAGTTGGTGGGATTTTTAGGAGTTTTTTTTGAGTTATAAGGATAAGTATAGACTGATTAAACAGTTTTGGCTTTGTTTTACTGATTTTTATAAAGTAATTTTTTGTTCAGTTCCAGAGAGACATGATGGCATGGAGGACAGATTATTTTTTTTATTTCCATGGAGACTAATTGGACAGTTAGTATCTAGATTAGTTCAAGGGAGACTGATTGGACAGTTAGTATCTAGATTAGTTCAAGGGAGACTGATTGGACAGTTAGTATCTAGATTAGTTCAAGAGAGACTGATTGGACAGTTAGTATCTAGATTAGTTCAAGGGAGACTGATTGGACAGTTTCTGGAATTGTTCAAGGGAGACTGATTGGACAGTTAGTATCTAGATTAGTTCAAGGGAGACTGATTGGATAGTTTCTGGAATTGTTCAAGAGAGACTGATTGGACAGTTAGTATCTAGATTAGTTCAAGAGAGACTGATTGGACAGTTTTCTAGATTAGTTCAAGAGAGACTGATTGGACAGATTAGTTTAGATTGGATAGTTTCTGGATGAGAGGGAGACTGATTGGACAGTTAGTATTAGTTCAGTTCAAGAGAGACTGATTGGACAGTTTCTGGATTAGTTCAAGGGAGACTGATTGGACAGTTAGTATCTAGATTAGTTCAAGGGAGACTGATTGGACAGTTTCTGGATTAGTTCAAGAGAGACTGATTGGACAGTTAGTATCTAGATTAGTTCAAGGGAGACTGATTGGATAGTTTCTGGATTAGTTCAAGAGAGACTGATTGGACAGTTAGTATCTAGATTAGTTCAAGGGAGACTGATTGGACAGTTTCTGAATTAGTTCAAGAGAGACTGATTGGACAGTTAGTATCTAGATTAGTTCAAGAGAGACTGATTGGACAGTTTCTGGATTAGTTCAAGAGAGACTGATTGGACAGTTAGTATCTAGATTAGTTCAAGGGAGACTGATTGGACAGTTAGTATCTAGATTAGTTCAAGGGAGAGATTTCTCAAGAGAGACTGGATTAGTTCAAGAGAGACTGATTGGACAGTTTATCTAGATTAGTTCAAGAGAGAGTTTCTGATTGGACAGTGGACAGTTAGTATCTGGATTAGTTCAAGGAGAGACTGATTGGACAGTTATCTGGATTAGTTCAAGAGACTGATTGGACAGTTAGTATCTAGATTAGTTCAAGAGAGACTGATTGGACAGTTAGTATCTAGATTAGTTCAAGAGAGACTGATTGGACAGTTAGTATCTAGATTAGTTCAAGAGAGACTGATTGGACAGTTTCTGGATTAGTTCAAGAGAGACTGATTGGACAGTTTCTGGATTAGTTCAAGAGAGACTGATTGGACAGTTAGTATCTAGATTAGTTCAAGGGAGAGAGAGTTTCTGGAATTAGTTGATTGGACAGTTAGTTAGTATCTAGATTAGTTCAAGGGAGACTGATTGGATAGTTTCTGGAATTGTTCAAGAGAGACTGATTGGACAGTTAGTATCTAGATTAGTTCAAGGGAGACTGATTGGATAGTTTCTGGATTAGTTCAAGAGAGACTGATTGGACAGTTAGTATCTAGATTAGTTCAAGGGAGACTGATTGGACAGTTAGTATCTAGATTAGTTCAAGGGAGACTGAGTGGACAGTTAGTATCTAGATTAGTTCAAGGGAGACTGATTGGACAGTTTCTGGATTAGTTCAAGAGAGACTGATTGGACAGTTAGTATCTAGATTAGTTCAAGAGAGACTGATTGGACAGTTAGTATCTAGATTAGTTCAAGAGAGACTGATTGGACAGTTAGTATCTAGATTAGTTCAAGGGAGACTGATTGGACAGTTTCTGGATTAGTTCAAGGGAGACTGATTGGACAGTTTCTGGATTAGTTCAAGGGAGACTGATTGGACAGTTTCTGGATTAGTTCAAGGGAGACTGATTGGACAGTTAGTATCTAGATTAGTTCAAGGGAGACTGATTGGACAGTTTCTGGAATTGTTCAAGAGAGACTGATTGGACAGTTAGTATCTAGATTAGTTCAAGGGAGACTGATTGGACAGTTTCTGGATTAGTTCAAGAGAGACTGATTGGACAGTTTCTGGATTAGTTCAAGAGAGACTGACTGGACAGTTTCTGGATTAGTTCAAGGGAGACTGATTGGACAGTTTCTGGATTAGTTCAAGGGAGACTGATTGGACAGTTTCTGGAATTGTTCAAGAGAGACTGATTGGACAGTTTCTGGATTAGTTCAAGAGAGACTGACTGGACAGTTCCTGGAATTGTTCAAGAGAGACTGATCGCAGCCAATCAAGTCACAATTAATGATAGGATCAGATAATACGACAGGCATATATTTTGTGTATGTAACATGTAACACAATCATAAATAATTTCTATAAACATATTCCTCCTGTTATATAGGTTATACAGGTAAACTCATAGCAGATGTCCTCATATCATAAATTTGTTTTATTTGTTTTTATCCAAAATGAAATGTGCTTGCAGGGGGTCATTGAATTGGGCTGTCCGAGTGTCTCTACATGAGCATTTTTCAAATCCGAGCTTTGTACAGTTATTCAAGCAAGTACTCTAGCGATGCCTTTTGCTATTCTTTATTCAAATATTTTTTTTGATACCATGGAAACAGAGAGGCAAATTTACAAATTACAGTTGTCTGAAGCACGATTCAATAGCAGATCAAGATAACTATCTGAAAGTTTGTACAACTATCAATGGAGCCAGCAATCTGGTAGTCCTTTTTTTCGCTGTGGAGGAGTTCCAATTTTCTTAACCCCTTGTAATTATTTTTTTGTTACCATGGAAACATGTAAAACTACAAATTTTGCTGTTTCCAGAGTAAAATGTCAATAATATTCAAGATCTCTAACTGAAACTTCGTCCATTTATCATGCTATCATTCTAGTGGTGATTTTTGTGGTGGTTAAGTTCTCACTGTGGAAACTGATTAGAAACAAATAGGTAAATTATTACAATTTTCACAAATTTCCAAAGCATGGCAACAAAATTGTTCAAGAACTATGTACACTATACAAGATATTACTCTGTTGGTGCATTTTACTGCTGGAGCAGTCTTCATTTTTTCCCCGATGTCTGTCAAAATAGTTTCAATCTTCAGCAAAGTTTTCCAATTCCATAATTTAAATATCCCCCATATTTATATGTAGTATCCCCCATATTTATATGTAGTATCCCTCATATTTATATGTAGTATCCCCCATATTTATATGTAGTGTAGTATCCCCCATATTTATATGTAGTATCCCCCATATTTATATGTAGTATCCCCCATATTTATATGTAGTATCCCCCATATTTATATGTAGTATCCCCCATATTTATATGTAGTATCCCCCTATATTTATATGTAGTGTAGTATCCCCCATATTTATATGTAGTATCCCCCATATTTATATGTAGTATCCCCCATATTTATATGTAGTATCCCCCATATTTATATGTAGTATCCCCCATATTTATATGTAGTGTAGTATCCCCCATATTTATATGTAGTATCCCCCATATTTATATGTAGTATCCCCCATATTTATATGTAGTGTAGTATCCCCCATATTTATATGTAGTATCCCC